AAGGAAAATCAATAATTATTTTATTTCCTAAATTCTCCCTCCAATATTTATATTTTATTGATAAAGAATCCTATAAAAATGGAAACCACTAAAATTCATTTCAAGCTCAAAGCCTAAAAATACAGAGAAGAAGAAGAGCTCTCTGCAACTCCAATGGCGGCCATAAGCTCTCTATCACTCAAAACTCCAACAAAAATTCAATCTTTAACCAAAACCCATTACTCCATACCTCTCAATCTTCCTTTTTCATGCCGTTCCAAATCCAAAAGAACCGGGTCAATCGGGTCCCGGACCCGAATCCGTTGTGGTTTGTTGATAGAACCTGATGGAGGCAAACTTGTGGAGCTTTTTGTTGAGGAATCACAAAGAGAATTGAAGAGAGAAGATGCTTTGAAATTGCCTAAAATTAAGCTTACGAAGATTGATCTTGAATGGGTTCATGTGTTAAGTGAAGGATGGGCTAGTCCATTGAAAGGGTTTATGAGAGAAGATGAGTTCCTCCAAACTCTTCATTTTAACTCAATTCGTCTTGAAGATGGCTCTGTTGTTAACATGTCGGTTCCGATTGTGCTCGCCATTGATGATTCTCAGAAGAATCTAATTGGTGGCTCGACCAGTGTTGCCCTTGTTGATGACGAAAACAATCCCACTGCCATTTTAAGCGAGTAAGAGATATTTCTGTGTTTTATTCTTAACTTTCACAAAATTTAAGCAGGGGAGGCAAAAAGGTGATTTTTTCCCCATCTATCCGAGCCTCAGTGGATAGAACTACGCGGTGCTTGTGCTGGTAGGGTCTAGTCTGTCCAAGATTTAGTGGATAGAACAACTCGCTACATTGTGAGATAGTGCATACCTATGGAATCATCCCATCGCTCCAAGTCTTAGTTGATAGAGTTATTCAGTAGCCCTGAGCTGGTGGGTGGTAGCAGGTAGTGCACTGATTAGTGGAGGTGTGAGCAGGCTAGTGAGTATAGTTACTGTTGCTTGTGTTGGTGGGGTCAGCAGATCTCTATGGAATTAGCCTGTTTAAGCTTTAGGGGATGAAGTCACTTGGTGTGGGAGGTAGTAAGTACCCATATAATTAGCCCATATGTCTAAGTCTTTAGTGAATAAAGTTACTTGATACAAGTACCTACGGAATTAGCTTATATGCCTAAATCTTAGTGGATAGAGTTATCCGGTATCTATGATGATAGAGGGTAACAAGTATGTAAGAGACTAGCCCATATGTCTAAGTCTTAGTGGATAAAGTCATCTGTAATTGTGTTGTGTTGATGGGAGGTAGTGGAATTAGTAAAGGTGTGTGGTTGTGTGCAAAGCTTAGCTCGGATATCATAGTTATATCAAAAAACAAATTTGATCCAATAAACTGTTGTTTTCATACATTGATCATTGATGTGACTATTAATTTAATGTTTTAGTTCACCATATTAAACAAAATCTGAATCTTATTTGTTTACGTTTACTTATGTGTGCTTACAGGGAATATTAAACTAAAGTGTTGACTGTATGTAGATATTTTTGCTTGAAAGTATGGTTTTTTAATGGTTTGTTTTGTAAGTGGCATGTGTTTTGTATTTGATTTTGGGACTTAGTAAAAGGAAAGTTGGACTTTTTTTTATGCCAGTACTTATGGTTGTAATTTGTAAAATGGCAGTTAGGGAGACATATGTTGGGTTGTAAATCTTCCTTTAGGATTTGGGGCAAAGTTTAAATCTTTATGTCATAGTGGTACTCAAGAAAGTAAACAATTGTTTCCAGTAAGCAGTAACTTATTCAAGGTATTTCTATTATTCTGGAACATTGCGTTAACTGGAAAAGTAATCCAAGGTATCCCTTTGTTTTCAGAAAGATGTTGATGTTAAATGTGAAGATTTACAAACATTTCCTTTTTTTGGGTCTCCATAGGTAGTAGTTTGTCGGTTTCCTTGCTATTCTCCTGTTGATATATTTCTTCTGTTTTTTTTTGTCACCAATAAATTTTCAAAGGGAAGGTCTACCCTGGAAAATTCTTACATAGGATATCACAGTAGTCTACCATGTGAAATTGACTTATTTGAACCAAGCATCCTAGTCTAAAGTTAAACTAAACGTGATTTAGTGCTTCCCATACCATAATATAAAGCATAACAAGCAGGACAGGGGAAAACTTGTTCTTACTATTTTGTCAGTTACAATTATGATTTTTTTTAAATATGCATGGAAAGTTCATTCTCGAAAAATCTCAAAAAGAATCAGCATCATATTATGTTTTTCCGGGGACAATTGGCTCGCCAACCTTCGAGATTGCTCATAAGAAGGCAGAAGTGTGATTATTTTCCATTTGTTTAGGGATGGCAATTCATCATGTGCTTTGACTTTGCACGTCCAAATACGTTTTTGGTTGTTTCCGATTGCTTTTATAAAGATTGACATGTTCCCAATTGCTTAAAATCAACTTTGGTAGTAAGCTGGAAGACGCCTATATTTCCTCTTCATCTGTTCAGAATTCTTTTGCAATATTGTAAGTATGTGAGAGCCTCAAACAACTTGATACACTGATGGAATCTCTGTATGGAATATACTTCTTGAATCCAATATCAGTAATCTTCTTTATTGATGTAGTGACTGAAATTGCTCAAAAGGGGTTAACTATTTGTGATCTACTCAACGAATGCCTTATACATATTCGAATGTGTCAGAGATATTGATCAGAATGATATTCTGCATTGGTTGTTTAGCAACTGATTCACCGCTTCTTTGTACTTTTACTAAATTTTGTCATGTTTATTACTGCTTGTCAGTAACATCATATGACTGCTGTCTTTCTTAACTCTGATGTTTTTCCCTATTAATTTGGTCATTGTAGTATTGAGATCTACAAGCATAACAAGGAAGAACGGATAGCAAGAACTTGGGGCACCACTGCCCCAGGTCTTCCTTATGTGGATGAAGCTATAACTCATTCTGGAGACTGGCTAATTGGTGGCGATTTGAAAGTTATAGATCCAGTCAAGTACAATGATGGTCTTGACAGGTTCCGACTTTCACCTGCTGAACTTCGTGATGAATTTACAAGGCGTAATGCAGATGCTGTTTTTGCCTTCCAACTGAGAAATCCGGTGCATAATGGCCATGCACTATTGATGACTGACACACGTCGGCGACTTCTCGAGATGGGATACAAGAATCCTGTCCTTTTGCTTCATCCTCTCGGAGGTTACACAAAAGCAGATGATGTTCCACTTCATTGGAGAATGAAGCAACATGAGAAGGTTTGTGCTTTTGTTGACCCGCCTGTATTTCTTCTTTTTTTTTTGGCAGTAAATAAAGCAAATGAAACGCTACGGTACTCGAGTTTTTCCTCCCCTTCACCAGGCCAAGTTTTCACAGTCCTTTTTGCTCAAAGTTCCTTCTAACGTCCATTTTCTTCTTAATGTATCTATTCGTGTGTTAATTGACTGCCTAAAGAAAGTAAAAAAGTTCTCAGTTTCATTTGATCCCTTTACACTGAAATTTGACTCACCTTCTCAATCTGAGTTATGTACTTGGCATAGTGTTGCTAACTCCTATATATGACGGGATCTCTTCTCAGGTACTTGAAGATGGGGTGCTTGATCCAGAGACAACTGTGGTTTCTATATTCCCATCTCCCATGCACTATGCTGGTCCAACCGAGGTGCAATGGCATGCAAAGGCTCGCATCAATGCAGGTGCTAACTTTTATATTGTGGGACGAGACCCAGCTGGAATGAGTCATCCTCTGGAGAAGAGAGATCTGTATGATGCAGATCATGGCAAGAAAGTCCTCAGTATGGCTCCGGGACTAGAACGGCTGAATATCTTACCTTTCAGGGTATGGCAACAAATTACCTGTGGTTAAAGTGCAACACGTCTTTGCTTTTTATTTTCAAACTCTAATGTGAATACTGAATTTTCTTGTAGGTGGCTGCATATGACAAGACTAAGAATGCAATGGCTTTCTTTGACCCCTCTAGACCTCAAGATTTTATCTTCATTTCAGGCACCAAGGTTTCCATCTCTCCATTTGCTTTCAGTGTTATACCTTATGTTGCTCATATCCAACACTGGTGCGGCAGTACTGTTGGAGAATCTGAGCAACATAAGGTTTACCCCATCACGCCCCCAATCCAACTCCACTCCCAACCCTCGGGAAGGACCAACTTCATTACATTATACGATGCTAGATTGATTATTCTGCTGCTGTCCTGGCAATCAATATCACACAATTAATGTTTCCTTCTTCTTTTTTTCAGATGCGAACGCTTGCAAAGAACAAGGAGAGCCCTCCGGATGGATTTATGTGCCCAGGTGGTTGGAAGGTTTTGGTGGAATACTATGATAGTTTGGCTGCAGCTGAAAATGGCAGAGTTGCTGAACCTGTAGCTTCTTGAATGTATCATCTTTGAGAAAGTGAACTAAAACATATTTGGGGTAGAAAAATCAACTTTTTTTCTCCCCAGTATGTGGTTTCTGAAGATTATTTTTGACATTAAGACAAATAATAATAGTGAAGCATGGTATAGGTTGAGGGAAAAAGTTTCTCCATCTTGTAAATTATAGTGCTAAATTTATCCACACATTATGGAAATTGAGTTTCAAGTTCAGGATGGATGGACTATGTAGTATAGAGGTTGGAGGCTACACTATATGTATTTCATTCTTTTGAATAGATGAAAACATAAGTTAGACACCATTTGTTTTCATTCGCCGCCTTGGCTTTCGTTATCATAGTATCTGTTGTTGTTGCTAATGTTCTCTTCCCCACATACTTATTTATTATTCGAGTTGAGTTTTTATCGAAAATATTTTTTCTGCAATCTCGAAATTACAGTATTAGGTATTATTGTTTGAAGGTCAAATTTTAGTGTACTAAAATGGTTCTTTGAATTTGATTAGCTAATTCTTTGAAAATACTAATTATAAAAAAATAAGATAAATAAATTGAAAATTTATTCTGTCATTGCTAGTGATGTAATTGGTAATTAATACTAAAGTATGTTTTTATTTTTGTTCGCCATAAGGTCTCTTTCATTCGAAACTTTGAAACATCTTTACCCAAAATCCATTTCTTCTTACCTCTCAATCCTCCTTTCTCGTACGGTTGCAGACCCATTAAGAACCGGGTCAATCATGTCGCAGACCCGAAGCCATTCCGGGTTGTTGATCGAACCCGACGGTGGCAAGCTTGTTGAGCTCTCCGTTGATGAATCACAAAGAGATTTGAAGAGAAAAGAAGCTTTGAATTTGCCCAAAATAAAGCTTACGAAGATTGATGTTGAATGGGTTCATGTGTTAAGTGAAGGATGGGCTAGCCCATTGAAAGGGTTCATGAGAGAATCTGAGTTTCTTCAAACTCTTCATTTTAATTCGATTCGTCTTGAAGATGGATCAGTTGTTAACATGTCGGTTCCGATTGTGCTCGCCATTGATGATTCTCAGAAGAATCAAGTTGATGGGTCCAGTAGTGTTGCCCTTGTTGTTGATGAAAATAACCCCATTGCCATTTTAACCGAGTAAGCAAAATTTCTTTCTTCTTCAAATCATCTTTTTGATTTTGAATTAATGTTAAAAAAAAACACATCTTTAGCGAGTTTCATAGCTCAATAATCCATTGTTCTATTTAAGTATTTAAAGTATCGCCTTTTCGCGTGTTTCATATCACTCCCTTATGTTTAGCCTATGGAGGCCTGTTGCTGATTGGGAGCAAATATTTGCCGTTACAGTATTGGTGTGTTATAATACAAAGGAAGCGATAGTTTATCACGAGTTTTATACTTCAATTATCACTCCCTTTGTATTAAAATACAACTAGATGCTGAGTTTGACCTACAAGCTTAGTATGGAGGTGTGTTTTAATACGAAGGAAGTGATAGTTTAGGTAGGTAAAGAGAAATATGGATAGTTGAGGTATGATACGTGTATAATGAGTGAAAATGGGAGTTATTCCTAAAGGAAAGTGGGAGTTTTGATGCCTAGTGCTTACGGTTGTAAATGGGAATTAGAGTGACATTGGATTGTTAATCATCCTTTAGGATTCAAAGAAAAGTTCTAATCTTTATGGAAGAATGGTACTCAAGGAAAAGAACAATTTTTTATGAAGTGGGAAAAGAGCAACTGTTTATAGTAAGCAGTACTGTTCCTGAGGTAGTTCTGTTATCTTAGAATGTTCCTTTTTACTGTAAAAGACATCCGAAGTTATTCATAACCATGTTGATGTTAAATATTATGATTTTTATAATTTTTCTAATTTTCAGTCACAATGGTAAGTATAGCCATTAAGAATATGTTAGTTTGTATGCGTCCTTGCTCTTCCGCTGTTTGATGTATTTCTTTACTTCTTTTAATTTTCACTAATAAATTCCTATACAGGTTTACCCTGGAAAATTGTTCTACATGATATCACAGTAGTTTACCATGTGAAATTGACTTATTTAAACAAGCATCCCTGTCTAAAGAGTAAAAATAAATTAAACGTGATCAAGTGTTGTGCTTTAGTTGTCCCCATAACATTAGCATGAATAACATAGGAGAACTCTTGCTCCTTTGTGTCAATTACAACTATGAATTTTAAAAGAATATTCATTCTCAAGATTTCTCCAAAAGAATCAGTGTCTTATTAGATTTCATACTCCTTGTGTTAAGAAGATGTTATAACTGACTGGCTCGCCGCTCACTAAACGATCAAGTTGAAGTTCTGGAGTTGCTCATAAGAAGGCAGAAGGTTGATTAGTTTCTACTGGTTTAGGGATGCGAAGTCATCACCCGCTTCATCTTTGTCAATCAAATTAAGGTTTCTGTTGGTTTCCATTTGCTTTTAGTAAGATTGACATGTTGGTCATTCCTTCTATAGCAGATCTTCCTCTACTAAACAAATACGAGCTTACAGTCAACATTAGCAGTAAGCTGGAAGACACTGATTTTTCCTCTTCATCTGTTCAGATTTCTTTTGCAAATCACAAGTATAAGTGAGCCTCAAACATTCTGACCATTTCTAGTTGGCGAAAAAGCGGGTCATAGCCCAACCCGACCATTTCTCACGAAGTTTTAATCTCTTTGTTGTTCTTTTATAATTTTTAAGCATCTAACTAGGCTATCTTTTCTTTATTATGACTATTTATACTTTCTGATCTAGTTTCTTTCCCTGTTAATTTGGTAAGTGTAGTATCGAGATCTACAAGCATAACAAAGAAGAACGGATAGCAAGAACTTGGGGCACCACTGCCCCAGGTCTTCCTTACGTGGATGAAGCTATAACTCATTCTGGAAACTGGCTTATTGGTGGTGATTTGGAAGTTATAGAACCAGTCAAGTACCATGATGGTCTTGACAGCTTCCGGCTTTCACCTTCTGAACTTCGGGATGAATTTACAAGGCGTAATGCAGATGCAGTTTTTGCTTTTCAACTGAGAAATCCTGTGCATAATGGCCATGCATTATTAATGACTGACACACGTCGGCTACTTCTCGAGATGGGATATAAGAATCCCATCCTTTTGCTTCATCCTCTTGGAGGTTACACAAAGGAAGACGATGTTCCACTTCATTGGAGAATGAAGCAACATGAGAAGGTTTGTGCATTTGGTTACCTGACATTTTCTATTTTTGGCAATAAAATAAAGCACTTGTCTCTTCACTACTTGATCATGTTCCTCATTTAACAGCCAAGCTTCTGCAATCCTTTTTGCTCAAAGTCCTTGTTGATATCTATGTACTTATAAGCGTTTTTTTTAAATCCTGCTCAAAGATGTAGAAAAGGTCTCAGTTTCTTTTATTCATTTTGTGGCTGAAATCCCACATAAAATTTGATTTGCCTTATTAATTTGGCCATGTATCAGCATGGTATTGCATTCTCACTCCTATACACGACTGGATTCTTGTCAGGTTCTTGAAGCTGGGGTGCTTGATCCCGAGACAACTGTGTTATCTATATTCCCATCTCCCATGCACTATGCTGGTCCAACCGAGGTGCAATGGCATGCAAAGGCTCGTATCAATGCAGGTGCCAACTTTTATATCGTGGGACGAGATCCAGCTGGAATGAGTCATCCACTGGAGAAGAGAGATCTGTATGATGCAGATCATGGCAAGAAGGTCCTCAGTATGGCTCCGGGACTAGAACGGCTGAATATATTGCCTTTCAAGGTATGGCAACAAATTAACCATGGTTAAAGTGCAATATGTCTTTCCTTTTTTACTTCCAAACTCTAACAATACTAAATTTCATGTAGGTGGCTGCATACGACAAGACTAAGAATGGAATGGCTTTCTTTGATCCATCTAGGCCTCAAGATTTTATCTTCATTTCAGGCACCAAGGTTTCTATCTCTTTATTGGCTTTCAGTGTTTTACAACTATGTTGTTCACGGCAGGTGAGTTGTCATGTCCTCCAAAAGTGGTGTATTTTTGGAGGATCTGACAAAGAAGTGACATTATTTTTGAGAAACCAAGCGATGTTTGGTCTCTTTAAAAGTGTTGGTGGTGGGTACGTGTCGGATCCTCCAAAAGTAGTGCAATTTTGGAGGATCATACTCAGGTGCGGCAGTATTTTTGTAGAATCTGAGCAACATAGGTTATACCCCCATCTCATTCTCAGAAAGGGCCACCTCGTTACATTCTAGGATGCTAGATCAATTATTGGGGTGCTGTCCTTACAAAAATATGGTGTAATTCATGCCTTCTTTTTTCTTTCAGATGCGAACTCTTGCAAAGACCAAGGAGAGCCCTCCAGACGGATTTATGTGCCCCGGTGGTTGGAAGGTTTTGGTGGAATACTATGATAGTTTGGATCAAGCTGAAAATGGCGGAGTTTCCGAACCTGTTCCTGCATGAATGCATCATCATTGAGTAAGTGAATTACAGCATGTTTGGGTAGAAAAATCAACAATTTTCTCCCCAGCATGTGTCTGAAGATCTATAATAATAATAGTGAGACATGGTATAGGTTGAGGAAAAAGTTCCCCATCTTGTAAATTATGGGGCTAAACATAGCCCAGTACACTAAGCTTCTGCTATATGTGGAGTCCAAAGAAGGTTCAACCACAACGGTCTATTCAACACAGCCTTACCTATCTGGTTCCACAGCTCGGACTCGATGACAATGGTGCTACTGCTACACACAACATTTCTAAAGTTATGCACACATCTATATTATAAGTGTACTTGATTTCATTAAAATGAGTTCCCATGGTTTCTGGATTGGACTATATAGGCCACAAGTTGGAGAGTACATTACATTTATTTCATTCTTTTGAAAAGATGAAAGCGTTACATATCATTTGTTTTCACTTAATGAGGGTTTCATTCAGATTTCAGTGTATCTAATTCATTTTTATCTCGAACAGCTGGATTTCTATATTGCAACCTATGATTTCCACGTGTCTAGCCCATGACTTCTCCACGAAGCACAATTGATCGAGTCTAAAAGATAAAGGTTGATAGTCCAACGGTCTCATGAATCTATTTGGGTCGCGATCTCACCCAACTAAGTTTCATCTTTACCCTTACAAGAACCCTTCACTATGTTGAAGGGATTCGATTAAATCCTCCTTTGTTAGAAAATTATACTTATTTAAATTAAATTATAACTAAATAAGATGGGTGAAAACAATTATAAATTGTTTGACTCATGTGAAAGAGAATGTAACACTAAAGGGACATAAATCATTTATTTGTTCAATTATTTTTTGAAGGAGTGGGAATGAAGGTATTTTGTAGTCAGAAGTCATAATACACAAACAAGTCATAGGAAGTAAAAAGACTTGACTCAATACAAAATTAATTTATTTTTCTTGAGAATAGAAACATGCTTGTCAACAAATTTATGAACGTGCCTTTGAATTTATTTTTCTTATATTACAAAAAAAAAAAAATGTATTTGTAATCCCATTACTCCTAAGGTAAAAAGACTGTTTCTGATAGAACCTAGGCTCACATAAAAATATTAAAGAAGATTTTAACAAAAGACATATAATAATGAAAAAGTCATCTTAACAATAGTAACAACAAAATAATAGATAATCGAAGCAGTGATAATTCATATAATTGACTAAGTAATGATAATCAAATTCTCTTTTGGAGTCATCAAACCTAGACGTGACAGCTATTATTCTCCTCTTTTTTATTAGTATTAGTTCATGACTAATTACATTGTTATTGTATTTTGGTGTGTCATTAGGAATAAACTAATATATTAGTTAACGTGACTTATCGAAATTAGTTAACGACTAATTGATAGTTTATATGGGTTAAAAAATAGGCTACAACCTACTCAAAGAAAAAAAAAATTAATAACCTTATTTAACATATTATTCAAAAAGTCATCAAGAAATATCATATTTAAAAGAAAATGTGGATTTGCTAATCGTACGTCCTTTCTTGCTTTTATTTTATATCATAATCATTATGATATTTTCATCATAAAATACATTAATAAGTACTCTATAATGATAGTAGCATATTTAATTATTTGTTTATCTCTCCCCCCCCCCCCCCAACACACACACCCCGCGCCACACACACATTCTTTAATAAGTCTTTGATAGAAAGTTATTTACTCGTAAAATAAAATTTTTATTATTTTACAAATATCTAAATAAGTTGAATCATGAAACGAATTAATATATAGAACATCAATAAAACAAAAAAAATATTACATATAAACTAAGAGGTTCTTTTGGTTACAATTTTGAGAGTTTAAATAGTCAAATAATCCTACAATTAATTCCTTGGCTATATAAAATTGATATTGTTTTAACAAATAATAAAAACTTCTTAATAAATAGAATAAATATAAATAAATATTTTTAATCATATATTAAAGTTTGATCATCATTTTAAAAAATTCATCAAAGTTGACTTGACCATCTCCATCCAAATCTGCTTCTCTAATCATATGTTGAGCTTCTTCTTCTGTTAATTTCTCCCCTAAGTTAATCATCACGTGCCTCAACTGCAATACAATCGAAAAATATTATAACAAAGTTTAAATTATATACATTAATAGCTTTTTTTTTAAAAAAAAATGCACTAATAGTGCATTATCAATATCTTACTTATTAATGAAATGATAATATAAATAATATCTCTATATCACTAATGCGTGGAATATTACTTTTGATATAATCATATGTGGTTCAGTATCGTTGATTTGATTAATTCAGATTAAATCATACATGTAACGTTCGATAAAAAGAGGAAGTCCTCTATATAATGAGTTTCTCCATTTTCAAGGTCGAAATTTTCTCAATTGTATCTTTTAGAAATGACTGATTAATAAATAATTTTTTTTATTTTTCTCACAGCTTATAATATATTTTAGATCATATATAGTATAAAGAAACCCCTTTTTGAACAAGTTGAATACCTTTTTTGTGAGAAAATATAAAAATCATTATGATCTAAGATTTTATAAGTTATTGAAAACATTAGACGATAATCTAATATTTATATATAAGATTAAGCAAACATTGAATTCGATTTAACGTTGTCTGGAATGGTAATTCTACAAGAACTATATATGTAAGATTTTTAAAACTAGAGGTAATTAAAATTTAAATAATATCTAAAAAGGATTATTGTATAAATCAATTAATATGATTTGAGATTTTTAATTAAAAATTAAAGAGATTTTATCTGTTTCATTATAATCTTTATGGTATAATAAATAAAAAGTCAAAAGGAGCAAGTGCATTGTTCAGTGTGAACTGTGGAAAAATTCATTGCATTGACAGATTGGTTTCAAAGTTAATAATAATAATAACCTAATAATTATCTAGGATTTGAAACAACTGTAAAAATAAGTATATTTAAATAATAATGACAGAAAATTTTAACATGTGTACCCCCTCACCTTTCCCTTAACTAGTTTAATAATTATATTCATTCATAATCAAATTAAAACATTTTTTCCAAATCCTTTGAAATATTGAAAATATTTATGGATTTAGACATAAATTATTAGCTATTTCTTGAATTATAAAGATAAAGATACATAGAACACAATTTTACTTTACTAATTAAATTGAATATAATCTCAATATATACGCATGACATAATAATAATAACTGATCTCAAATCTTTGTACGAGCATGAAAATTTTTAATAAGAAATATTGTAAATGATTCTAAACTTGACGAGAATTTAAAAATGTATTTCGTTTATGTTGTATTTAATTTTAATTTCATTATATAAGTAAAAAGATGTATTATTTTTTAAACTAATAATTCGATCGAAATTTAAAATGTTTTCAATCATATTTTCTTAAAATTAAAAATACCTTGATCTTTTTGACTGGTCTTCAAAGGAACAACATGAGTACATATGCCGTACATGATTGACTTCACTCACAAAATAATATTAATGATTATAAAAAAAATATCTTCTAGTAATTCCTTTTTAAAAAACAAAGATATTTTTTCAAATATATTATTAAAAGTATAAAACTCCAACGTAAAATCAACTTACATCGGTAGCAGAAATAAATCCATTTTGATCTTTATCGAACACCTTAAACACTTCTTTAAGTTCTTCCTCTAAATCCGTCTCCTGAAAATTAAAATAAAAACGAAGCCAGAAATTTTAATAAGAAAATTTAAAAATATATAATAATAACAACATATTTAGAATTTAAATTCGTGTCTTAACACAATAAAAATCTATTATTACTTTATTTATACTGACGGTGAATTCCAGGGAATAGAAATATAGACGGAGATATCGTAAAATTTACTCCTATAGAGCGTTTGCACCAAGCTAGCCAACATGTATGATATGTCTATTTACACACTTATTAAATCACTTGGTTATTAATAGTGCGTTGATATAACTGATTAAGTATGAACACCCGACACCATTAAATAAGAATTTTTACCTTCATTTTCTTGGTGATGAGATTCAAGAATTCAATAAATTCCATGGTTCCATTATCATGATGATCAGCATCAACTTCACTAATCATATGACATAGTTCTTCTTCTGTTGGATTTTCATCCAATGACCTTATTACTGTTGCTAATTCTTCAATTGTAATGCAGCCTAAAAATAAAATTATAATATTTGAGATATTATATAAAATAAAATAGGAATGATTTGGCCAAAAAAAATAATAATTGATACTTATATGATATGAATTTATCCTTAATCAGAAATTTCGTTTATTGAAGTGAGCACTTCCCTTTTAATTGACTTTAGGCAACTTAAGTTATTAGTTATTCTAGATTTCAATGCTACTATCAAACATCATATGAAAAATTAGAAGGATAAACAAATTACTAGCTAGTATTCATTATTATCATCTATAATGTTAAGGTTTCAATGCTGATATCGAACCTCGAGTGAACAACTTCATAAAAATGTAAGGGAAAGATTAATAATAATATGATAATTATTACCATGTACATCTTTGTCAAATAAATTGATGGCTTCTTTGAATTGAAGTAGTTGATTTTCTTCCTTCTCTATTTTATCAGCCATGGTGTTTTCTTTTTGGATCTTTGTTTAGTTAGAGAGAGAGAGAGAGAGTTAAGTATATAATGTTGGATGGACGTTTATTTGTATTTAAATAGAAGAATTTGTTGTGACAAGAGGGCTCTAGTAAAAGGAAAAATTACGATTCCTTTTAATAAATAATTACTAATTTTGGTGATGTTTTTATTTATTACCATTTTATAGTAATATTATGTTAAAAGTAAATTCTGTATGTAATAAATATGTATCATAACTGTTTTAAAAAATATGTTATGTTTGTTTAGTAAGAAATTGACACATTGTATTATAAATGTATTAAAATGTGTGATAAATATATTAACCATCTATAAAATTTGTATCATATGTGAATAATAAATTGTTTTTTGTAATACGTATAAAAACTGTATTATAAGTATATTAAAAAAGTTCAAGAGAAAAAAAAATTATTACTATTAATGGTAATTATTTTATATTTCCGTAAATATATTCGATTTCATTAAAATATTAAAAAATAGATTTTTAAAAAGAAAAAAAAGGGATGAATAAGGGGTTTAACAAGAGAAAAGTTCTTCGGCACCTATTAAAAGAATTATTTTTAAAAAAAATTGGCTTTCATATATAGTCAATCTCTTAAATTTGTTCACATTTTGTTTAGACACACGAACTAAATTATATTCAAATTGAACAATTCAATTCTTAATAAAGTGTTCAATTTAGATACTTTTTGTTTGAATTTTTTTTATTTTTTTATGTGTTCTCATTCATTTGATAGATAATTAAGTTAACAATATAAAATATGTCATATCATTTAGTTATACGTATTCACCTCAATAAGTTATGAGACATCAAGTGTTTTGTACTTCATATTGATGCGTGTAATTAAAAGAGATGATATATTCTATGTGATTAACTTAACTACGTATGTAATAGACGGATGAGAAAGCACATATAACTATCTTTTTGAGAATTTGAATCGAAAGTAGATTATGTATTAGACCTTTAAGACTTGTGGAACTCTATTCTTTGAATGTGTACTTGATAAACATGTTACCGTAACACAACTCGTAAACCACAGATTCGATATAATCACACAAAATAAGTTTTAAACAATAATCTCGATAAAAAGGCATTAGAATGAGAAATCGATATCTATCCTTTTATATGAGATATATTATTTATTACACCATCTCAGTCATTTTTGTGAATCGCAACAAATAAAATTCTTTTAGAAAGAAATTTCCAAATGAAGACAGTCAAATTGAATGTAGACCGGTATTAGGTGTAGTTGTTGGTCATGGCTTTATCACGCAAGCCCTCTTAATTTATTTTTTATTTATCAAAATTTATTGATTCGATTAATTTAAAATTTGTGTCACCTATAGGTATGATCACCAAAGACGAGTCTAAAATTTTGAATGTACGAACTTCAAATTTTAAAAAGACAACTTACTAATTTTCGAATTTTAAAAGAGGAATAGAGAATATTAAAATTTTGACCATATTTTAGATTAACACCCAAATATCACGCTGCATTGTGAGGTTTATGGGAGTAATAGAGTCCTTTTGAACAAAACCAAAACAAAATCTTGACTTTGAGACTTTGAATTCAGTTTTTATTGTGAACTAACTTATGAATCAATGAAATTTCAAATTTTGAATATGCTTTGCATGTGAATTTGTATGTCCAAATCAGTGTATTTTTTCATATTTCTTCCAAATTAAGTGACGTGATTTCGAGTGCATGACACGGACTCAAACTCTATTGCAAATGAAAGTCTGATATTTAAGTGGAAAAGAGTAGAAAAATACATTTGTTACCCATCAAGCTCGAACCATACATTACAAATTCTCTAAAATTTCAAAGGTAAAATAAACATTACTTGGATTAAAGGAGGATAATGATATTATTTATTGTTTAAATTAACAGGAATTTGATTCTAAAAGCCAAATCAGAGTGTAAATGATTTTCACCCATATATATATATATATATAGCATGTCTTTGAAAAATTAAAACACTAGAAATTTTCATTGTCCAAATTCCAAAGGAACAAAAAAAAAAAATTGGACTTCTAGTATTGTGAATTAAAATAATATTACTAATGTTTCTATCAAATAACCTTCTATGAAAATTATGTTCGAAGTTTACTTCTTAACCAAGTTTGCAAAGAGTCAAAATGATTTGGAGACTTGACTCATATGATCATCCTTTGTGATTTGTTAATTTACTATATCTAGTATTTGCCAGGTGGTCACGAATTCTAGCTGTTCTACCGAAGACGACTTCATACCCAAGATTCGAAATCGAGGTCATTGATTAAGGCACGAAAGAGTAGTTACCACTCCACCACAACCTTGGGCGACTTGACTCGCACATGCTGAAGTTGTTCAAGGATTAAAAAAGAACATCAACTATGAGGACACACGAGTACTAAAATACTCAAGACTTGCTCAATATTGGCAAACGATGCATTACTACTATTTATTTCAATGAGTTGTGTGATTAGAAAACATGACTGATAGATTATCCAACTAGAAAATGTCACAGATTTTTCTAGGTTTTACCATGAAAATAAAATTTACAAGCTAGGGCTGAAAAACTAACAGACTAAAGTTCGATGATGCCAAAAACATTGTTGGTCCACAACAGAGTTGTGGTCACTGGTGGAGAACTTCTCTTGGATTGATAAGTTGTCCTTATTATTCAGATGGGCTGACCTTTCGGAACGATTTGATCCTTAATCCACATGTATATTGGAACGAGCACGTAGTAACTTGCAGCCATTATGCCAAGCAGGAATCGCATGAGAAATACAAAAGGGTTCACAGGCTTGCTCACATCCTCAACCTTGGGACCGAGCTGCAACACAACAACACAGCAACATTAGTATATTATATTTACTAATGGTGTAAGAAAGTATAGTTCCGGTTTGACAACAAAGCTTCAATCCACTAAAACTGTAAATCAGAGAGTTCACATGCACTTTTCATTTTTATTTTGTATAATGTTGGCCCGAGATGAATTTTAAATGGAGGAACATGGTCACTGAGGATTCATATAGCCGAACCCAACTTTCTTGGGACTAAGGCTTAGTTGTTATTGTACTTGTGTAAGGCAAAAATACTGAGAGTTAAAATGATTGCGCTATAAGCTGTCCGCTAGTCTACAGCCAAGGAGGAGGGAGGCGTTCTATCACAACTTACATCACGCAAGTTTGACTATAGATGAAACAAGAAATGTTTAAGTTTGTAAATTTATTGGCAGTACTAGAATAGTATGATAAGCATTTTTGAACTTCCAATTGCTTAATGAAATTAGAATTCCGAATAAATTGTATTTTCTGTATAGCATACCACATATTTTGAGAAATTTGAAAGTGGAAAATGTGTCTGGACATGAAGAGGGTATCATATAGTGTCAGAAAGTCAACAAAGGTGTTTAAAATAATTTCAAAAATATAAACAAACAGGAAATCGAAGAATTTAAGTCATCTAACAGATTGACCAGCACAAAAGCTTCAAATATGCCATTTTCTAAGCAATAACACACACTTGGGAAAAAGAGAAGTCCCTACCTGCAATGGTGATTCCCCAGCATATGGCTTCACTCCAGTCACAGAGCAGCCCATGATCAACCCGTGTCGGCGGACACCACGATACCATTTTGGGCCAATCCGCTTCAGCTTAACTTGTGTGAAACCGGCCTTCTTAAACCATTCTATATATTCTTCTTCTTTTGGAAAGAGCATCCACACATCTGCAAAGAAACGAGATAACCAAAATGTTGGGTACACCGGACCAATCAGGCAGGCAACCCCACCTATGGTTAGTACCCGATAAGCTTCCTTGATACCACGCTGTGGATCTGGCCAATACTCAATGCTGGAGAACACAAACATGTTATTACATCTAGAAGTAATAAATAGGTGACACCAGTGAATATTGTCAAAGTTAATTGAACTAGATTCCACTGGAAATGAGCAAAGATGACACATCAAGCATATATATTAATCTTGAACTTGCCAGTTATCAACAATAAGAATCAATATGAACAAAAGTTTATACGTGTAAGATATGGTACTTGAGCCTAACTCAACCCCAAAAAGGTAGCACATGAGGGAGGATTGCCCAAGTCCATATAAGCAAACCACCAGCCCATTTCCATGGGACTCTAGCCCACTCTAACAATAAGTAAGGAAATATGAACAATGGCTAAAAACAAGTGAAAATGATAACTTCATGTAATTTGAAGTTCACTTGCACTCTGTATATTGAGTACAACAAGCATCTTAATTCTTCAAAGAATCGCACTTCATTTGTGCACTAGTGAATAGTCAAAACTGAAGCGACAAAAAGACGATACACGTGGCCTAAAAGTCATAGCGGAACCATGGCTAGTTGAACTGCACAACCTAATGATCTTTTATTAAAATTACATGGAATGTGAAGAGCATTCCAACACCTGACGAAGAGTAACAAAAACTCCACCTCAGCTCAATGACGGAGCTAGATGGAGGAAAGGGGGTCAAACAGAATCCCTTTATTTTAAAATTACACCCTGCAACTATGACAAAACAATTCTTTTTGCTACATGTTAACTGTTGAAACCCCTTGACATAAGGGGGAGATTTTAGTGAAGCGGCCAACGAGGTTCAAAAATTGTTTTAGATCACGAACGAAAATCCCAAGTGTAATTTCTAGTATGTATTTGAATCTCCGTATATAAATTCCTGGCTCCATATTGGCCAAGCTTGATGAATTGTTTAACAGCATCACATAGTATTATAGACTAGCAAGTTCAATTTGGAGGAAAGGCAAGAATAACGTAGAAAGAAATTACATTTAGGAAACAGAATACAGAATAGTCTGATTTATCCTATCAGTTCCCAAAAATTTTCTAAGCAAGACTTAAGCAGTAATAGCTAGCAATTTCTTATAAAACAGCATCAGCATCACAGACTAGAAGAGCAAAAACAAAGCAGATGGCAGAGGACAGGGTCACAGAGGCGGAGCCAAGATTTTAAACTTTATGGGCTTGAGTTTGGGATTCTAACACAACTCATTCGATTTACTGGGTTTGAAATCAACTTGCACTTGTTTAGTGATTCTTATCACATATCCGAGACAACGCTATTGGGTCCAATAAAGCCATAAGTTGCACTCTCCATGGCACTTGGCACAGAGGTTGATCCAAGACTTGAACTTTATGGGCTCAAGTTCGGGATTCTATCACAACACATTCAATTTACAGGGTATGAAATCAATTTGTACTTATTTATTGAGTTTTTATCACATATCCGAGCCAAAGCTATTGGGTCCCAATAAAGTCACAAGTTGCACTCTCCATCGCCCTTGGCACAGAGGTTGATCCAAGATTTAAACTTTATGGGTTCGAGTTCGGGATTCTCTCACAACTCATTCAATTTATCGGGTTTGAAATCAATTTGTACTAAACTAGTGAACTTTTATCACATACCGAGCTTGGACTCCAATGAAGCCATGACTTATCATCCTCTCCATCCGCCCTTGAGGAGCAGACACAATATCCGATGTATTTCAAAACACGTGCCAACTGACCCTCAGGATTTCTCAGTTATCCAAAAAACTAAAAGTATAAGGGGCGGAGCCACAATACGGGTTCCACGAAACCTACTAGTTATGGCCCAAATACTGTACTATTATTAGGAAGACTTCACCTGATATGTACAAATAAATTTATCCATTACCCACTAAACAAAAAGAGTTGTTGTTCAGAACTCACATACTACCTCTATTTCAATTTGTTTGCCTTACTATCCTTTTTAGTCCGGTTAGAAAGAATGTCTTTCTTCATTTTTGACTACTCTTTGAATTTAACTTTCCACATAGCATGTTTGACACCAGAAGATTAGAAGACATTTTGGTATATCCTACATATGCTTTGATAGGGAGGGAGTACTTAAAAATTCTGGATTTGTCTCTGCTCGGGGTTTGCAGTTGCCAAACATAAGTATAGAAATTACCTTCCAGCTGAAATATATCTATCAAAAGTATCAGTAGGAAATGGGAGATCCTCAGCATCTCCTTCAAGTATCTTGCACTCTTTCAATGGCTCCTTCTGCCTAGCCTTAGCAAGCTGATGAGGTGATTGATCAATAATAGTCACATTTTTAGCATCAACATGCTTAACAATCCCAAGAGTAGTAAATCCAGTTCCACCACCAACATCCACCACTTGCAAATTCCTTGCGTGTAGCTCAGCAGGTTCAAGTGCTTCATCTCTCATATCTTCAGTCCAATGCCCAGGATTTATGACATGGTCATACACAATAGACAAGAACCTGTAGAACCAAAATGCCTCTTTTTTGTGTTGTATGAATCTTGGTTGAGAAGCTGGCCTTGAAGCAGACAAACTGCATTTGGTGGGTCTTAGAGTTCTTGTTGCTCTCAAATTAACAAAACCCTTTTGGGGTAAACACTTTAGATTCAGTTCTGACCCAAGAAATGATGAGCCAGATGGAGAAATTCCACTAAGAAGCTTGAAATTATCAGATCCACTCAGTATTGAAGACGCCATGAAAGTATTTTTATAGCTTTGAAGATGTAATTTTTACAATACTTCAAGCTAAAAGAAGCTAAACCCAGATGCTATATCTTCAAATTCATCAATTTCGATAAGTTTTTCTGCAATTTTAATGAAATTTTTAAAAAGTTGAAGAAGAAACAACACAAGAAGTTCAGTGAGGTAGTAGAAATGGAAGCATTACCTTTTTGGCTACCACATATTGAGATTACGATTACAACTCGCAACTAAACAGGAACCACAGAGCTATACGACACCGTTTTATCCTCCTTTTTTTTTTCACTCAATTGATTATTTTTAATTCTGTTTTTACGAAAAATAACTAAAACATGAAGAAACTAGTGGGAAAGTAAAGAAGCAAATGAGTTTTACATGTTCTAAGTGTGTAAGGCTGAGGTGGATGAAGTAAATTAACATGGAGTATTATCATTATATTATACACATAAAAAGCAATGGTTTGTTATTATCAAAAAAGAAGAAATTTGTTAAATCGAGAAAATTTTTGATAATTGACAAATGTGAGAATTAATAAAAGGAATAGATTGCGATAGCATATTTAATCAAATCAAATTCGACAAGAAAGAAAAAAACATCAATTACACGAAATAAAAAATTAAGGCAATCCATATATAAAACTCATCATACGTGACAAGAGTCCACCTTATGTAAAATTTCTTCTATAAGTAGAAAAAGGGTCATAATGGAATTTCTAAAAATCTCCAAAAGGAAGGACATTTGCTTGAAGAAGGATAAGCCTTACAGCTAGAGCGGTTAAAATAGGTTGGCCCAATCTAACCCTAACGGGCTATAGAGTTACATGGATTAGACGGGCTGACTCTTTTTAGTTAAAGGGCAGTAAAATATTGGCCTAACTCAACTCTAAGCGGGCCATGGGTTGACCCTTCAACCAATATTATTTTTTTAGAAGGAGTATCGAAGAGAATTGAATGTTGATGTCTATGAACAGGACATCAATACATACAAATTTTCATTTATGAATCACACACTTTAGCAAATACTTACAAAAATATATTTATGAATCTCACACTTCGGTGAAAACTTACCAAAATATATAATAGTCAACGTAAAATTTAGCAGAAAAATATTAATCATTCAAACATTCCTCCCACTAAAAACAAGCTAGTTTAAAAGACTTGATTTTTTATGCTTGTAACAATTCATTGATAAAACATTTATAAACAAAATATTACTGTATATATATTTTTAAATATTCATATATGAGGCTAGTAGGCCAAGTGAGACTGGGTTAAAAAGCCTCGTATCTCAATGAGCCAAAAAAATTAGATCCAATCCCACTGAATTCAAAGATTAAATTGGGCCAACCTCGTGAGTCAAACCCATTTTGACGATTCTATTCACATATATAAATACTACAAGGGTTTCACAAAGAATCTATGCATTTATATTTAGTTTTAGAAGCAATAGGCAATCAAATAAGGGGAAACTCATATTTGAGAGAGTTTTGACTGCATACCTAAGTGCAGCCAAGACAAAGAAACAAAATCGAAAAACCTATTTCATATGCTAATGTTTTACTACAATTCTTAAGTTAAATTTGCTTGTATTATGATTTGGTGTTTAGCAAAAGTCCATTTGACAATCAAAGATAATTGTTAATCCATAGAAATTATAGTTTAATTCCTTAAGCTATAGAGTTTGTAATGTTAAATTGTTGCGATTCAAAATTTTAATAAGTTTGAAGTTAAATTTTATAGAGATGTAATGTCGTAATTTTATTCTTTTATGAACCAAAATTGTTCCCAATAAAATATTGTATTATTACTCTAATTATTTAAATTTATATAATATCAAAAATAAAATAAAATAACTTATTCATTAGACATGTTTACAACTTTAATTTTTTTATGAGGTAATGTTACACTCCAATTTCTCTATCACTTTCTACATTTGTTGACAAAATGTGCAAATCTTTTAACTTACTGATAAGTATTAATTTTATAAACTTTCGAAGTTAATATTATAAATTAATTACGTTTAAATTTATAAATAAACAATTTACCAACTTTGCGATAATTCAAGGTATGTGATATTTGAAATTAGTCTTATTAAATAGTTACATCCATATGCAACTTTATATATGTTTGAAGTTGTTCTGGGATTGATTTTTTAAAAAAAGTTGAATATATGTTAGTGTTAGAATATCATCTAATTAAATGTATTATAAAATTAAGTTTAAATTCAACTCAAGGTAAAAAGTTTGTGCATCAAATTAAAAAATAAATTTTGAATTCAAAAAAATCTAGTAAAGAAATATCACTTTTTAATTTGATTTGTCGCGAACAATCTTATCATCTTTTTTAACTGAGTTGCGAATTTCAATAAACATATATACATCGTCTCCATAACCAAAGACTTGTTTGGTTGACATATTAATTATGTAGAAATTGTATTGTATAAATTATTTGTGAAAGTATTTAATAAAAAGGGATAATATGAGCAGATTATTATAAGTATTACGTACTTGAAAAATAGTTTTGTTATTTATAAATAATTTTAATTCACGGATAACAAATAAACATATTCTTAAATTATAATCTATTCCATGTAAATATGATATAAATTCACTAAAGCAAAAATTACATAATATATATAATCAAAGGTGCATTTTTGTTAAGTGACAATTATTTCTTATACTATAAATTAAATATTGTATTAATTTGTTAAGTGACAATTATTTCTTATACTATAAATTAAATATTGTATTAATTATATTAGACGTAAATTTACTCCTAATACAAATTTACGAGAAAAAAAAGCGCCATTTATGTTTCTAGATTAAAAATCTCCCGCGCAATCCTCAAAACGTGTAGGCCCACTTCCATGGTGGCAATCCTTGTGCCCATCAATTCCACCAATCAGCACACAGCATTTAGTCTTATATATATAATCCGTACCCTCTTCCTCTTTCGCCACTAACACAAACAGCAGCATACAAAACCGAGAGCTAGAATTAGGGTTTTTCTTTCATCGGGAAAAAATGAGTTCCGGCGGTGGATCAGGCAAGGGCGGCGCCGGTAGAGGGAAGCAAAAGGCATCGAAATCTGTGTCTAGGTCTTCAAAGGCGGGTCTCCAATTCCCCGTCGGTAGGATCGCTCGTTTCCTGAAGAATGGAAAATATGCTGAACGTGTTGGAGCTGGTGCACCAGTTTATCTGTCTGCCGTCCTTGAATACCTCGCTGCTGAGGTAATTTTATGCTTGATTTGGTGGATTGAGTTGAAATTTACTCTAATTTATGCTATCGTTTTTACTTGATTTAGTCTATTAAACTGAAATTTACTCCTATTTTGTGCGATTGTACATGATTTGGTTGATTGAATTCAAATGTTTATGCGATTGTTTTTATTTTATTTGGTTGATTGAATACTAATTTCCTCTAGCATTGTTTTTACTTTGTTTAGTCGATTAGATTGAAATTTGTTAAAGTTTTTGCGATTGAACTTGCTTCATTTGGTTGATTGAATTCAAATGTTCTCTATGCGATTGTTTGTACTTGATTTAGTCTATTAGATTGAATTTTACTCCTATTTTGTGCGATTGTACTTGATTTGGTTGATTGAATTTAAATGTACTCCAATTTTTTTATGTGATTGCTTTCATTTATTTGGTTGATTGAATCCTAATTTTCTCTAGCATTGTTTTTACTTTTTTTAGTAGATTAGATTGAAATTTGCTCCAATTTTTCGCTATTGAACCTCATATTGGTTGATTGATTCAAATGTTCTTTATGTGATTGTTTTACTTGATTTGGTTGATATTTTTTTAATTTCTGTAAGTTAACTTGATTGATTCAAATTTACCCCATTTTATGTGAAATGGTTTGAATCTGGAATCAAATTGAAGGACTTGCTTTTTGATATTTGTACTTTAAACATGCTATCATATATTTTATTCCTCTATAACATAGCTTTCCTGATTATTAGACATGTAATTTGTGTAGTTTGAAAAAGCTACTTGTTAACTGTGAAAATGTGAATTTAAGAGTAGAATTTATTTTGTTTTTGCTGTTCATTTAGGAAGAAATACTGTTACAGACACTGGAGTGGTTGCAATGTTTAATTTGGTTTCATTTGTCAGTCAAGTTGCAATCTGATACAATGGTGATTCTATTTGTTCATAATCTGTGTTAAGGGTTAACAGTTGGAGAATTGGTATTGTATGTTTAGTTCATGTCGATGGTTGGATAATCATGTTTAGTAATGGACTGTGATAATCAATTGAAGAATTTGTAATGGTGTTTAGAGATTTATCTATTTTAATGTTACAGATTATCTGGAGATAGTGATGGTGGAGTTGTATTCTTTAATGTGATAAAAATTGTACAATCTTGTGAGACTAAATTTATTAAAATTTATTAATTTAGGTGTTGGAGTTGGCTGGAAATGCAGCAAGGGATAACAAGAAGAATCGTATAGTGCCGAGGCACATTCAGTTGGCTGTCAGAAATGATGAGGAACTGAGCAAGCTTTTGGGTCAAGTTACAATTGCTAATGGAGGTGTCTTGCCTAACATTCACCAGAATCTGTTGCCTAGAAAGGCTGGCTCAGGCAAGGGCGATATTGGTTCTGCATCTCAAGAGTTCTAGAACAAATGAACTCCCTAGTTTTGAAATCGATCTGAAGTGAACAATTCATAGCTTTGTAATATAGAATTGGCTCTTGTTTTGATAGTTTTGAATTCAATGGTGCTGTCGACTTTCTGTTTGATTTACAACTTGGAAAGTTTTTGTGATGCGAATGGAATTACATCTTTTTGCCTGTCAATTTGCAATTTGATATTCAATTTGGGAAGTTTTTTTGATTGGAATTGGATTAATTGGTGTGATCCTTTATGACCTCGTGCTGTGAACTTTGATTTGCAGTTCGCTGTGACAGTTAAAATTGGAACTATAATTTCCTTTTTGCAACATTATGTTTCACAGCAATGCAATGTCATTTGCCCATTTGGCAAAACTTATATATGATATATAAGCTGCCTTTTTCTCCCCCAAAAGAAACTTTTGGGCTATACAGTTTTATAATTTGGTGTTATCTGAATTTGTTTCTCATTTTCTTCTTACCTTTTGTCATAACAAAAATCTGAAATACTTTAGACATGTATATATGCAGTGATAGCAAAAGTTGTTTTCTTCTAGCAGAGTGGCATTAACATCAATCATA